GCCCTTAACTGGCTTGATAAAATTATGAGCTTTTCAATTTTCTTTTAATGTTGTAAGTCAGCATGACATCCTTCACACTTCAGGAGACAACGTCTCTTCAGCTTATTGACAAAGTAGCACTCTCATATTGAAGTTAAACACATCTGCTGTTCTGAGAGGAATGCAGTAATAGTTGCAGGATTTTACTTTTGAAGGAAATAATTTTCCTCTTGGGTTGTAGTTCTCGTGAGAATGAAAAGAAGCTAACAAAGTTAGTCTTTATTATTAAGTAATTGCTATGATGACTGAAATACTGTTTTCCAGGAAAAAATTTCCTGACCTAAATGTTCGTGGAAACAGTCCTCATAAATGTCTACAGATATTTTCATAATATGAGCAGCTTCTGAGCACATGACCATTTTATGCATTCAGAGGATGCTGAGAAGCTATCAATTTTGTGTATTGACATCTTGTCAACCTACGCAGTTTTATCTGTTTTCTGCTTCTTGTGGGGATCTGATTAATCTAGTACTGCCGAGATAACTTCGCATGCACAGGCACTGCTGTTACAAAACAAACTAAATATCTCGGTACATATTGAAGTGATTCATTCAATGCAAGCACAGCTTTATACAAGCCATTCTATGACCAGCAGAATAATGAAAGCTGATTCCATGCTGATTTGTATCCCGAGTTTTTAGAGCACAGATAGCCCTTTCAACCCCCAGTGTTCCCTATGGCCTCGTGTCCCTGCAATACCCGCTCCTCACAACGTCCTCTCCATTCTCCCTCTGCTTTCCACAACATCATCATTCCTCTTCTGTGTCACTGAACTACTAGCTGAGCAAGAGGCATCATTCCCAGCTCCAAGCCAGGTGCTGCCTGGCCAGTTGGCCTGCTTATACTGTTAACTATACAGCTCATATCATTGCCCTTGCCTCACTGAGGGCAGGGGTTTGAATCTTTCTCTTTATTTACCTGGCCACTGCTTCCTGTTTGTTAGCTTGTTTAACCAGTACCTCTAGGTCCTTCGGTCAGATGTGGTTGAAATTGGCCCGAAGGCTCAAAATTAGTTAGAAGGAAGAATTGGCAGAAGAGTGCACAGAACTAAAAGACCGTGTGACTGCTGCTGCCCATCACCATCCGTTGTCAGCTGGTTGGGACTGAGCAAGGTATATCGATTCTAGAAGCTTTTTACACTTCAGTGCACTCACCTGTCTTCTGTGGGTTTTAAAATATCCACATACCACTGATATTAGATTATTGAGACTAAGAACAAATGAAATGTAAAATAATGCTCTTTAACATATGAATATTGCATTTCCAGTTAACTAAAATAGATTGCATTTGTTCGGCTTAGCTGTAATTAAAATAGAAAAGAGACTGTTACACCTCTTGAAAACATGCTCCACGGTGGCTGTTTTGGTTAGCATGTCAACTTCCTTTGCAGAGCAGATATCACCTCCTTTTTACCAGCATCCCATGGCTCTCCAGTTTGTTTTCGGATCGCTATTACTATTTTTCCTTCATTTTTCTTGTTATCTACAGGCACGACAGGGCATGGGGCATACTTTCCCTAAACGATGGTTATAAAAGTAAAAAGATTTTTGATTAATAGCTATCTATCAAAGGTTTGACAACCAATCTCATACCTTCTTTCCTACACTTGTCTATGTCTCTGCTGTCCAGACACTTTGTTTATTGCCATTTCAAATGGGCAAATTTCCATTTCCCTTAATTCATTTCTCTCACTCAGTTTCCTTTGTTATTAATTAGGGAAAGAGGTCCAGACCATCTATCATATATTTGTGATTGTCAGAATTTGTTGAAGCAGATAATTATCAGTCACAAGAGAAAATTGCATACATCCTAGGAAATACTTGAAATCTGGCGTTTTTTAGTCCCAACATGGTTTATGGTTGCATTGCTACAAACCTCAAAGCGTACCTTGAAAAACTGCCCTATTTATTTCTATCTTCTATTTCTTTTCATAATAGATAGGTATAGTGAGAGGAGTTTATGATTTTTTCTTTTAATATTGTTTTGATTATATCAGTTATATATCAGTTGTCTGCCTGCTTGTAATTACCCAGATTGCTTTTATCCCCTCTTTTTAAAGCAGAAACTGTTTCATATTTTCTAGTCATATGGCACCATCCCCAGCTTTGTAGCTTTATTAAGAAGCAGTTTTACATAACAGCTTTTTCATAATTCAGTCACAGAAATTATCTGATCCGCATACAAATGTAGTGCATTGATCCTTAATTTTATCTCTGCCTCCCTTTCCATACTTTATTCTCATTAGCCAGAAATCTCAAAGTTATTGTTCTCAATCAAAAGACAGACTTTGGACCCTACCTAGATTTTTTTAAAATCTGTTTAAACCCCTTTTGTAGTTTATATAAATCTCTTATTTTACTTTTCTTTCTGTAGTTTGTCTGGAAAAAAAAATAAGCTACTGTTATTTTAATTTTCTTTGCAAAGACTGACTCAACCTTTTGGTAGTTCATATTTTGTCCCTATACCTTCTGAGTGGGAAGATGCAAGTAAATTTGATGAACAGGCCTTTCTGCTAACTCTATGATTTGTTCTAATAGCTCGTTTCCTGATTCTATTTGAAGCTTTTTGCTTAGAAGTCCTACTTCCTTGTTAGATTCTGCCATTAATTACCTTTAAGCAGCAGTGAGGCAGGAAATCTTCTTTGAGTTCTTAGTATAGATCTTTGTCTTATCCACTCCATACTCACCAAAAGAATTTCACAAATAGAGTCTTCTGGTGACCACAGATATTTGTTCTGCAACCAGACAAAATCCTAAGGATCAGATAAACAAATCAGTTCAACTACAATACACAAAGATTTTCTCCTTTCTAAGTGGGGATAAGATCTGCATTACTTCTGACTAATCGTATCTTCTCAGAGCAGTCCATTGCTATGTAAAGCATCTGGGGGGAAAAAAAAAAAGAAGAAAAGTATATGCTTAATATGCAAGTAGAAAACTCTAGGGTATAATAACAATAGGAAAATTCTATGCTAGTGCTACTGCGTTCTATAATGTAGATATAACAAGCTGGTTTAGTTTTCTTTTCAATAAAGTAAAAACTGATGGAACATAGAACAGCCTAGGTTGGAACAGATCTCTAGAGATCATCTGGTCCAACCTTTTGTGAGAAAGGGAGCCTAGATGAGATTATCTAGCACCCTGGCCAGTCATGTTTTGAAAACCTCCAGTGAAGGGATGGTTGTTCCAGTGAATGGTTGTTCTCAGTGTAAAAAAATTCTTTCTTATATTGAGATGAAACCTCTTTTGGTGCAATCTGTACCAATAGCCCCTTGTCCTCTCCATGTGGCTCCTTGTGAAAAGACAGCTTCTGTCCTCTTTGTATCCACCCTTTAAGTACTGCAAAACTGTGGTGAGGTGTCTCCTGAGGCTTCTCTTCTCCAGGGAGAGAAGACCTAACTCCTTCAGTCTTTCCCTATGGAGCAGGTTCTCCAGACTTTGCATCATCTTCATGGCCCTCCTTTCCCCCTTCTTCAATCTGTCCATATTTTTCTCGAATTGTGGGGGCCATAACTGGACACAGTACTCCAGGTGCAATCTGACAAGCACTGAGTAGAGTAGAATGATCATGTCTCTGTTGCTGCAGATAGAAATGGATGCAGCCCAGGATTTGATTTGTCTTTGTAGCTGTAGCAGCATACTGCTGACTCATGTTCATCTCATCCACCAGGACCCCCAGGTCCCTTTCAGCAAGGTTTCTCCCCAGCCACACGGATCCTAACCTGTACTGGGCTTTTTCGTTATGTTGTCTCAGGTGCCTTGTCTTGTTACACTTGTCTTGTTAAACTTAATACTGTTGTTGCTAGCCTAATCTTCCAGCTTGTCCAGGTCTCTCTGTAAGATGGCTCTCCCTTCTGATGTGTCCACCTTAGCATCCATCAGCAAACATGGTGATGGTGCTTTCAATCCCATCATCCAGGTCATTTTTGAAGATGTTAAACAGTGTGGGGCCCAGTATCAATACCTGGGGGACCTGACTTGTAGCAAGTGGCCAGCCTGAGCAAAAACCTGATCCCCACCCTCTGAGTGTGATCTGTTAGGCAATTTCCTACTCATCTCACAAAGTACCCATGCAGTCTGTAGCCTACCAGTTTGTTCAGGAGGAAGCTGTGGGAAACTTTCAGATGCTGTGCTGAAGATGGGTTTGACATTTGCCCTCTTCCAGTCATCAGGGATGTTCACTTATCTCCACAACTTTTCAAAGATTATAGACAGTGGCCTTGCAACAATGCCAGCCACTTCTCTTCGCATCATAGAGTGGCTTGTTTCACAGAAATTGTTTCATAGAAATCTTTTTTTCTAATGAGAAGTACATTAACAGTTGTTGTGGAGAAGGTAGAATCTCTATCTTTTAAAAATCAGTTATTCAAACACTTGTCCTTTCAACCTGAATTATGAATGGTAGAAGATTATGTTTAATCCTGCTCTGTAGCAAAGGGGAACGGATAGATTAGCTCTGGAAGTCTTTTCCAGCCCTACAATTCTGTGTGTGAAATCTGCAGTTATGCTTGTGGCAGTGTTTTGCTTTATTTATACTTGCCAGCAATACGGACCTGGGAAGGTAATCCAGCAGTGGCACAACAGCTGGTGTTCTAAGAGGGATTTCTAAAGAAGTGGGAGCGAAGAAAGGGAGCTTTACCTGTGAGACAGCGTCAGATTGAACCTTTTGAGGAATCTTTTGCACTTATCATGAATTAAAACCAATCTCCAAATATCCAAATTTCCAACATGGATATTTCAAACATCCAGTGATAAATTGCAGCCCAAGTTTTTTGACTTATTTTAGTGCTTGGTGTTAGCCTGTCTATAACTAATATACATTCTAAAGACATTTCTTTTTTTGACTTTTGTGTGTAGGAGACTGTGGTAATCATAGAGGAAATTGGTGAATTTGCAAAAAATATTGCCTATTAGAGGAAAAAAATAGTTGAAAATTCACCACTTGTTCCTTTTGTATTTCAGGTATTGGTGGTAATTTAGTAGCTATTCAAGCTAGCAGAATTTCTACCTACCTCCATTTACATAGCATTCCTGGAGAGCTGCCAGAAGAAGCCAAGGGTTGCTATTACCCGTGCAGAACCTATTATGGTTCAGGTATGTATTGGTCAGTTAACTGTTAAAATTACTGTCTTGTGTCTCCTGAGCAATGTGCTCTGGGCAATCCTGCTTTAACAGGGGAGTTGGACTAGATGATCTCTAGAGGTCCCTTCCAACTCTGACAATTCCATGATTCTGTGTCTCCTCTTTTCCCCCCTGTATGCCAGACTGTACCCCCAGTGTGAAATGGCAACAACTGAACTTGTTGTATGCAATTCAAAGGCAGCAGAAACTTGGCAGTTTCCTTTGCCTGCAGCTGTTTATCTGTGAGAATCACAAGGAACTTCCTGCAGGAGGTGATGGATGGAGAGGAACACGGGGAAAGATGTAACCCTGGCAAAGGTCAAAGATAGGGGACTGATGAGGCAGGACACTGTGATACCCACTCAGAAAGATTTCAACCTTCATCTTTCCTTAGCTTGCTTACCTGCTCCTAGCCTTTCTCATTTAACTCCAGAAGTTCAAACCAATCTCCTGTTAGGAGAAAACTCTGTATCTAACATTATTACTAAGCCAAGTCCCTGCTTTCCATTTCTGATTTGCCATTTTCTTTCTAGATTCTTCTAGAAATTCTTCACAGCTTATTCCTCCCCTGTATTGCCTCCTTTCCTAACGATGTAGTAGCTGTTGTGAAATACGATGTGTCAACACTTTCACATTTATGAAATTAATTGGAACAGATGAGCAAATGGTAAATGTGGGATTGCTTTTTTGAAATATAAGGCACTTTTGAGGATGTCTTGAATATGGTGTCCTGGGAAGGCTTTAGGACGTTGCTACAAATCCAAAAATGTAGATGTAAATGAGTAGAGAATGAAAGCAAACAGGTTGTACCCTCTTCTGAAAGGACAATGCTTAACTTTTCTGGCAGACACTACGGGTGGTTTCCCCACTCCCCACCATGAGAATCCTCAAGGAGTCTTTTAGCAGAAAATAATGCCTTCTGTTTCACAATGGTCAGTGCTGTGGCGTTCCAAAACTGGAATTTACTATTAAAAAAATCTGATATAGTAATCGAAGAGCTAAACTGAATTTTGTAAAATTTTTTTATTGTAGGAGTAAATAACAAATCAGCCCAAGTTCTGCTTCTTTTGGTGATTCCTGGACACCTGATTTTCTTGTACACTATCCACTTAATGAAGAGCGGCCACACTTCCTTAACTCCTATCTTTATAGCAGTGTATTTGTTTGCAGCTCTGCTACAGGTAAGAACAAGTAAAACTTGAAAACGCTTGTATAAAATCAAGTTCCTGAAGAAAATAATGTTTTATCTGAATTTTGAAATCTCATGAATAGTACAAGAAGGTATGTATAAATACCAGCTTTCCACACAGTTTTGAAGTAACTAATTATCTCCCCACATATAGCTTACACAGGTGCATCTGTATGGTGAGTGCTTTTCAGAAGAAGCTTGACTGCAATATTTCCCAGTCATGCATCTTGTGCTTTCTCTTTCACGTGCTTCTTGGAACCATTGCATCTAACCCCCCCATCATTTTAATCAACTAGAGGGGAAATGGAGAGAAGGAAAAGTAGCATTTATGAATGATGAATACATCAAGCAAAACTCTCAAAGAAATATCCTAAAGTGCTTCACATTACTGGTTTAGTTACCACAGTCAAATGTGCAGTAGATGAGAATGTTATGGGTTGCTTGGGGCATTCTTAATATTTATTGAAGTCAAAATTAGTCTGTCAGTGATCACTGTACAAGAAATTGTAATTGTATTAATTGTCAAACATTGTTATATTATTTTGGCTGGTCTCTCCTAGTGGCCTGTTCACACCCAGCAAGGGCAGTTCTTGAAAGATGCCTTCTGAAATAGCAAGGTTTTAAGGTGAAATAATTTCGTTAGGAGAAATCAGTAATACAAAATGAAATGTTTTTATTAAGTCCACAGCCAATTTTTAGCTGAAACCTGGCTAAATTGACTATAATGTTTCATTTTACCTTAAAAAGAAAAATGGACTTTTTATGTTACACAATAAAAATACAGTTAAAATATCCATAAGTACACATACTGCTTCTAAAAATATTTTAAAACTAAATTGGTCACACAAATAATATTATCATCAATCAATCTTTTAAAAAAAAATCTTTTTAGTGCCCTGAATTGTCTCTCTGTTTATCACACTACTATTTCAATAAAGATAGTTTTTGAAAACTGTTACTATTTTAATGTCATATGTGAATTCTATGCTTTTTAGGTAGAATATAACTGGGAATATTCCAACCTTTGCAAGTGAGAATGGCATACTAAAAGTTATAAATTACTTTGCATTTTCCTTTTACATAATATTCTGAGTTTTCAGCCTTATCACTTGTTTTATATTGTGTTTTCCTGAGGAAGTGATGCTATTCCTTCACTCTGTCCTTTCTAATAACTTTTTAATCCTTTGGCCCATTTCAGACAAGTTTTTCTGAGAGTCAGCTCTCTTAGTGATACTGAGTTCTTATGAGCTTAAAAAAAACAGGTTGGGGAAAGAGTCCAATAACAATGTGAATGTCGCTGCTGAAGGTAAGACTTCAGTGTGATTTCAGCCTTTATTAGACTTTAGAGATTCCACATGGGAATCAACCTGAATTCATAAATCCATAGGAAATCCATACAGACCTCCTGCTCACAGAACTGCAATCATAATACATTCAGGGATACAAGCCTTTTCTTCAGCAGCAAAGGATAGAGTAAGATGCGAGAAATGTAGAAGTGCATCTGAAAACCAAGTTGAGGCATCAGGGCAAGACTTCCAGTCACACACTAATTCAGACCCAGAATTGGCACGTACATGCATATAAAGTTGATTTTTATAAATTCAGGGTCTGATTAGAGTATTCAGTTTTGCAATTGTGCATCTGCATTGCAGTCCATAAGGCTACACCTGGTTTTCTTGATTTTTTCCCCTATAAAGCAGACATATAGCTTTTTAAACTTTTTCCCCCACTCCTTTTTATAGATGATTTTTTCCTCTTTATCTTCTGTCTTCAGTTTGAGATGTATTTACTTCGAAACTGAGTAGCAGTATTGCACACTGTAACTTCTTTTGAGTCTTGACAGATTTACAATTTGGAACCCCATGTTTTTTAACACCTTCTGAAACGTATTTCATAGTTTCTTTTCCCGATTTTAATTATTCTGGCATTTTTCTAGTAGTAATTATTGAAGATTTGCATACCTCTAATTAAAGCAGATTTAAATTTTTCAGAGATGATTCTTGCTTTAACCCTTAGATCTTGAACATATTTTCTTTACCTGTTGGTCTGAAGCACTTACCTGCTGCAGTTGTGTGCTTTTAAGTTTCTCCTTTCTCAAGGAAAACACTTAAAATATTTTTACTTATTCCTCTTCCCTTTTTTCAGTGACATCACCTAAACACCTGGATATAGTAAAGAACAGGTTTCAAACTGCCATTTCTTTTGGCATAAACCAGCATCTACTGATCTCATTTTTCTAGAATTCTTTTATATTTTTATCCTCCCAATGAAAGCTTTTCCAGTTGTCTCGTAAAACTAAAAAAACCTCACAGAGGATTATTGTAATTTCACTTATCAACAAAACAAATCTGTTGTCAGCCTTTTAAGCAGTGAGATATCTGCATTCCAGGCCTTTTTTATAATATATTGAACGTTGCATTTATTTTCACTTTGCATGGAAAGGCATATGAAAATGGATGTCAAAATTCCAAGCCTGCTTGCAGGCTTTATCTTTTGCATTTCAGGTGGTAGATGATACTTCAATAGAACACAATGATTCCCAGAAGTGAGTTAATTATGGACAGTCCTGTGTTTGAGGAGGTTTGGTATCACTACTTTGCCCTTTCCAAGTCCTTATATTGAGCTGAGGGGCAAAAAGGGTAGCTGAATAATGATTATGGCAATATGCCATCTAGTTACATTTTTCCCCACTATGTTAAAAAATTAATGCTAAATTAAAAACAACACCAGCAACAAAGCAAATTTTCTATCTTTAAAATTCAAGTGACTATTGTAAGATGTTAAATTATTTAATGACATATTTTATGGTGGACTGAAATAGACTGTTAATTAACTTCAAAATCTGTTCATTATCTCTGATTGTCCAGCTTTGTGTTTATTTAAAATGGAGAGGAATGACCAAAGTAGAACTGGAATGTTATAGCAAGCTGAAAAAAAATCAAGGAAATATTAACACAGAAAATTTAATTATAAAACTTTAATTAATTTCTCTCTTCCTCTGTCACTTTATGCTATTGCACATTATCTCTACAGTAAATTTGTAACATATATATGAATTCTATTTGGCATTTTAACAAGACTTTTTCAGATTGCCTGTAAACTTCAATATTCTTCCCAAAGTGATAAAATAGAATTTATTTACATCGCAAGCTCTTATTGTATTGCTGATGTTCCAGTCAGATAGTTAGTTTCATTTTCATCCAGTTCTGATACTTTCATAGTTCTACTTTTTCTTTTTCACCACCCATGCCTACCAGCTTCTTTCCTCTCTTCTCCCTACCTGTTCTTTGATATTGTCTCTCCAGCATATCATTTAATTGAAATATTTATGGGAAATAAGTAATGAATATGACATGATGTGCATTAGTAATAGTATGATTTAGTTATTATTGACCAAAAATACACTATGTAGTAAAACAAGGTACAGTTTCACTGGATGTGTGGCTTCTAAAAATCGTTAAATTAAGATATTTTAAATAATATGAGTAGCCAGTATTATGACGTGCATTCTCTTTGATTGTCTACAAAAAAAACAGTTCTGGGTTTCTAGACTTAACAAAACCCAGGAAGTGTTTAATTTTCTTTTATTTTGATTTCCCTACCTTTAATATTATGGTTATTTCTGTTCTTTAAATAAACACATATTCTTGAAATGTTCTTCAATTGCATTTATAAATTGGATCTATGAAATCCAAGGCTATACTCCCTTTATCTTTAGTCAGGCTAGGGTTTCACAATTATATTTTCATAACGGTGGGGAAAACTGCACAAATATTTATATTAATATGCATTTAACTAGAGATTTTAGGTTTGAGTTCAAAAGGTCAGAATTAGCTCTGCTGTGAAGAATCTGTTCTGTTCTCATGAATGGCAGAGCCAGAGGAAAATATAAAAAAAAAAAAGTGACCTCTATTTAAGAGAAATACTCTTTTCTTGAAAATTTTACAAAAACAAGTAATGCACGAGCACGTACCAGCATGCTTCATGCAGTTACAATCTGGCGTTTGACCAACAAAGAATATATTTATTGAAAACCACTCCTCCTCTTATACCTCACAAAGGCACAAGTATTTTCTAACTGTGTGAGGCTGTGAACTGAGCAAAGTTTCATCCTCTGTCTTGTCAACCTGCAGCAGAATGAGAGCAGCCCTGGAACTATGAAGCCACCAGTCCTGGCACAGGGCTCGGAGTGTTCAAAGGCAACCTCTGTTCTGCACGTTCTCACTGAGCCAGTAAAATGCCCTCCAAGGAATTTTCACACCTCCTAACCAAATCTGAGCACACAGTTATGTTAAAGACTCAAGGAATAAACAAACAATAGGAGATACCCAGAGCTATTACCAAGCAAATAAGTAATTCCAATATGCAGTCCTTACTACATGATGAAGATCAGATGTCTACTGCTGTGAAGCACCTTTTGCAGTGTTTTGGGGCTGTTTGGGGCAATAGAAAACCAAGAATTCATCAGTGCTCATAATGGCTTCCTGCTCACATCAAAAATGTGTGAGGATTCTAATGATGCTGTGGGCCTCTTCAATGTGGAAAAATGACTCATGGCATATACTGAGATATTATAGAGAAATAAGGAAGGTTGTGTTTATAAAGAAAATATTGATGCGTTTTAAATACTGTTTTTTCTAATAGGAAGGATTACTTCCGAAATGTAGAGCATATAACTGCTAAAAAGACTACATGATTCAAGGAAATATGGACATTAAAGTCCAAACCTGGGCAGTTCTGCATGTTCAGTGCTTTCATTTGGATGTGAATGTGGGTATCACCCACTCTTTCACTTCCAGGCGTGTTGCCGTCTGTGGGAGAAGCCTGGCTCCCACCAACTCATTAGCAGGGATGTATTGTTTTTGTTTCCAGAAGGCAGAACTCAAAGCGCTTATGTAGGTAGCACGACACACTGAGCTGTGCTACAGCTAGTGCAGGTTGAGCGTACCTCAACGCTTAATGGTCTGGGTTGCACTCCTCATTCAAACAGCTGACAAACAGCCTGAAATTAGGACTTTCTTGAAAAAGACAATCTGGAAAAGCCACAAAGAAATCAAGAAAACAGTTCAAGGAATTTGTATCCAAACTCTGGAATAAAAAATAAAAAAAAATTTCTTCCCGAAAAATTACATCAGTATAATCAAACTGATTTAGAAACAACTTCAGTTAAAATGGTATCCTCTTTTTTATGTAGATGAGGTTTTAGTGTTGCATAAATGTATGCTGTGCTGTCTGGGTACTTGGATATCGTAGTGTGGTTAGTACTACTTAGCTACAACATGAACAACAGCAAGAAAAAGCTTGCTGTTCAGTGGTTTCTTTGGAGCCAGACTTTGAAGGAAATCTCTGTATGTTTGGAAGAAGTAGTGACTTATTTCCCCTGGACGTGACACACACCAGATAAGCTACCTGAGAAGACAGTGGAAAAAAATTTCTTTGGCAAAATATGTGTAGACCCTACTCTGAGACCTCACCAACTGCAGAATTTTAGCTGTAGACAATGGAAATTCAGCAAGTAAGTTCAGTGTAGATTGATTGCGAGTGCTTTACAGTTACTACTTAGTTTCACATGAAAACATCAAATGCCATTTAAAATCTGAGAAATGTAATGTATAGTTTAAAAATTAACTTAATGACAGGTCAAGACCATGAGAAGACCTAAACCATAAATCTGGGGAGAATGATGTCAGAGTCAGGACATAGTAGGTTTTAGAGATCCTTAGCTTTTTCACTCACAGTTTTAAAAAAAAATGAACTGACCTTTGAATTTCATGGATTTATAAGAGTGCTTATGCAGTAATTACCAGGTCTTGTCATGGTTACATTATAGGTGAATTTTGAGTCAATTTAAGTTTGAAAGTAAAGCAGAATTAAAATGCATTTGCAAATGGGTTACCACACTTTATTTGCATCTGTGTTTCCTGTCTAAAGTAACAGAATGAAACTATTTTGTAACGCACCTTCACGTGGAAATAATGTAAGGTGAATCAGCAGTACTAATAGCATGCAGAATATCCTGTCCTTCTAAGGCCTGCTAAATAAACTGCTGAAAGGTGTTGGTTCTACATACTAAACTTCTAGTAGAATTTTGATAATTCCTGTGTGAAAAAACATATACAAATATATAACCTAAGCTTTTTCATTCCAGTCTGGTGTTGGAATTCACAAATCACAGCAACCAATGTCAACGTGTAAATTAAAATGAACACGAAAGATTCAGAACTGTTTTACAAATACTGTGCATTTGAATGTTACACTTCTTATCACTGTAAATTTGACATGCATTCACTGATGAAATATGGTGGGCCCAAATGAAAGAAACAATCAAAGTATTATAGCATCCTGCAACATAACAATTAGGCTATAAGAAGCTTAGACAGTATTAAGAATGTTTGGAAGAAGTTATGCATTTTTATTTTAAATAATAGAGTTCCATTCTTCTCCCATTTCAGAAATGATGATAAATTAATTACATGAGAAAAAGTAGATAGCTTTTTACTACATGCAAAAGACCAAAAAAAACTTTTCTTTAGCTAAACTTGTTATTTGTATCTAAAGACCTGCAAAGAATGAAGGCAAATTTTGTGCCAAAAAGCAGAGGAAAAAACGCTTTGTAGTGCATAAAGTTTCCATTTCTAGTCTTGCAATCATAAGATTTGAGCTTTAAATAGTGAGGCTTGCTTGTCTTTCAGCATTCACTTCAATCTGATATTCATAATTTGAATCAGAAAGTTCAATATCAAGAATTCCTCTCTATTTCTGTCCTTTGTTGTACAAAATAGTATGTGTACTTATACTCCTTATTTTCAGATTCTTCATCATTAGAGTTTGATAGAGACTACACTCCTGCTCTTTCCCACCCTTGTTCCCTTCCTCCCCCTCTCACATTCTTATTACTGTATTCTGCTTCTTTTGTCTCCTGAAGACCTTTTTTGACAATGTGACTAATAAGTCTTTCTGCAAATACATATTTATAAATGGAAAATGTCAGTTGTTATTGGGATGCTTATTTCATGTTTTGTTAGTCTAAAACTGATGATGTCTTTAGTTTTGTTTTCCTCAATTTTGTAATTTTATCCAGGAGAGTAATTACTTAGCATGACCTTTCTTTCAAAATATCAAAAGATCTGGAATTTTGCCTCTATTTTTGCAAGCTTGCTCTGGCCTTTCTTTCCCCTTGATCAGTGAATAGAAAGTGTCTGCCTTTTCTTAGCTAGATCTTTTTATGTATATAGATATTTCGTTATTTTTTTACCTTTCTTAAACCTCAGGGTTATTTAATTCTTTGGTCTGGAAGAATTCCTAGGGCTCTGTTCCATTATTCTATTCCTACTCATCTCTTTTTTTCAAAAAAACACTTCATTGTTCTCTTCCTCTGTATTGATGCTAAACAGTTCATTTTTGTACTGTCTTATTAGGCTTTTCTGTAATATTGATCCTTTTATTTTTTCCCTCAAAACCAGCTGGTTTTCAATCTGAAGTATGAAGGCTTTGTTCTTCATAGCATGAGTGCAGAGCAGAAGTACACGTATTTGTACTGCTTTACCATCTGCGTGATCTTGCTGGATAAGAATAAATCCCAGAAAATGTGAAGTGTTGTGCCACTTAAAGTAATGAGTCTTGTAATGTCTTTTTGTGTGATTTTTCTCTTCTTTTTACCTCCAATAGATCTTTGGGAGTTACTTTTCTTATCACTTTAAATACAAGGACTGTCTTACTTTCAAAAATTAGCAAACTTATAGTAGGGCTTTTCCTCACTGTTTTTCCAAAAGTAACAGTTGATGACTTTGATTGCCCCCTTTTAACACTGATGAGAAGTAAAATCTCATTAATCTTGACCTTGCAACACAAACTACTGTGGCCAAATAAGTACCCATTTCCAAAGACTGATCTGTGTAATTCTTAAATGCTCGTGAATTTCTAGCCGTGCAAATGTATGATGATGGTGTTACTCCTTTACCAAAATACGGGCTGGTGAACTGCAGTCTCATTCCGCAAGCAGGATGTCCCAAATGCCACCATATACTTTCATAAGCATCAGTTAATATAACATGCTTTTTCCTATTACTTAGAGAAGCCAGGTTTATTATAATTAGTGTTATGTGTTATGGACCTATAAGTTAATACGAGACAATTCACAAAATTAATTTTCAAACTACCCATTTTTCACAATAGTCTAAGTTGGTTATTTTGGGGTGCAAAATATATAGGCAAACTAAGGGTTTTCATGTCAAGATTTTTAAAAACCAAAAGTGCATACTGTCATTTAAATTGAACTGTGCGTGCTATGTCTAATTGATTGTGTCATATAAATGCACTAAAAATTGTTCTTGGAATGAATGGAACACGCATAACCATTGTTGATGTGGGGCGTTGCAGGGTCTGCTGTGCACATCCTGTAGGAGATGTTAATGTACAGTATCTTTTATAAACAGGCTTCTTTTTGTCTCTGTTAGAAGAAGGAGCTGACTCAAAGAATCTGATGGTCTTCCAAAGAAAACATCTGTTTTAAATATATTTGTTTGGATTCCAGTCAGCACACCTAGGACTTGCATAATTAGCTTAGACTACAGAGTTCCCTTTTCAGAAGATATGTTTGTATAAATAAGCCATGCATTTTTCATTAAGCAAATACTCCTCCCTTTCTTTTTTTTTTTTAATTTAGAAATTCAGGCTTGTGTTTTAACATATACTTTTGCAAAGCAAAGACTAATTGAAAAACTTTTTGAACGCTTTTTCAACATTTTTTCATATGACATGTATTTTGTTATGTTTGGCATTGTGGAGAAGTGTCTTGCAACCATCTTACCGGTATTTCATAAGTGTATGCATACATTTATAAAGATGCTTTTGATACCAGTAATTGATCATTTACTGCATAAAATATGAATTTTGAACTTTTTACTACTTTTGATGTTGTATATTCTTTTCAATGTACATCATAGACTTTAAAAAAATTAATTATGGCAGTAACTGTCTTAAGTTTACCCTTCCCAAAGATCTGATTAACTAAAAATACATAAAATATAGTGTTTATTTCATCTTAAGCAGCTCCTTAGAAGAGACAAGAAGAAACGGAAGCTCAGTTAGTGGTCCTTTCTCCATTCATCTCGTGCCATGCCACACCACATGATTCCACTGAACCAGATTCTCTTATCATACAGCTGTGTAACATTAAAAGAATTCTTTTCTAAAAGTGGATTGATGATTATGCATACCTTTGGAATTAAGATCAAACCTCTTGAATGTTCAGACAGTCACAGCTGGGAATGAAATCTTTTACTTTGGGACAAATTCAGCCTGGAGTGACAATTTTGTAATATATATCGCAGGTGTGCCTTATTACAGAAGGACTGAAGCTGGTATTTAATGCGTAAAAGTAGCTTCTAGGCCATTTTTTGCAGTTCATACAATCCAGATGAAACTGTTCTTAATCTGATCAAGTAGTTTTATATCCCATCTGATTTCAGCTCAGTTCTAGACCTCTGGAAACAAGAGTTATGCTTGAGTTGAGTGTTTTATCTGAGGCAACGTCACTTGGTTCTGAATGATCTCGAAACCCCACTTATGCTCTTAGTGTACAGAATAATGTCTGTTGTGTGAGAAGTGCAGTTGCATGTTTTGTTGGAATTTTTCCTTTTTCTTGCCATTTTCAGAAGTGTTCAAGCATAGCCTTGGTGAAGAATGTTGTTAATTATTTACTATGTTCTTTCTAACTCTGCATGTGATTGACTCACAGATGTTGACTAAGTTCCCCGATCTCTAGTTGTGGGAAGTGTTTCAAAAAACTGTTTTTAGAAAATAATTTTCAAAAGCGGTTGTATACAACACCGCTAAGTACTAAGGAGACAATAATGTTGGCTGTTGGCTTGCTTTCAATATAACTTAAGTGATAGTAATACAGATTTTGTTTGTTGTTCTGTAGGTGTTTACTCTGTTATGGATTGCTGACTGGATGGTGCACCACTTCTGGAAAAAAGGAAAAGATCCTGACAGTTTTTCTATCCCTTATCTTACTGCACTGGGAGATCTGCTTGGAACTGCCTTATTAGCTATAGGTTTTCATTTTCTGTGGCTCATAGGTGACAGAGATGGTGACGTTGGAGACTAATTATTCCGATGGATGGAATGACTTTGCCTGGAAAATTGACAAGACCAGTTATTCCACTTGAAGGTCCTCAAAGTGCTTGTTCCATTTGGTATGAGTAATTCAAGTTGACACAGATCTAAAACAGCCTTAATGATTTTAGCTTGGTTTGTTTTTCAAAAAACATGGTGGAACTAGGAGGATACATGAGACTTTTACTCTGAAACCAAGGTGGATTGCTGCTAGTTGAAAACATCTGAGTAGACTCAATGAAGATTAATCCTTTACCAAGTTTTAAATTTTTAAAAGATCTAATCTTTTAAAAGAACAGTTTCTTACCTGCATTGCAAACCAGAACAGTTTCTAATTGCTCATTCAGCAATGATGAAGAAGAGGGTAAGACCCAATCAGTGGCTTGCCTTGTCTTTCCCTCCCAGGAACAAAGCAGTTATATATTTTCATCATGCCACAGAAGTGGTTAGTAGACGTCAGATGAATTCAGTTTCATAGACATTACCTAATTAGTTGATGATATGGTCTTATCTTGCAATTTCAGTGCTGTAGCTCTCTGACCACTGCAGACTTCATATTAATAATAACTGTTACGGTGATTTGAACCCTGATTGTCTAAACATTTTGTCACTTTATTTTATGTATACTAATATGACCATCAGCATTTATAAAATTAGGCACTTGAAATGCACTTTGTGCTGAAAGGAGCAACCTAATTATTTTGCTGTTGTGATTTATTGGAACAAGAGCATAGTAAAGACAAATAACATGACGCTGACCTGATCAGTAAGTCCTTGTGTTGGAAAGTGTATTTAGCAACTGAAATGATATTTAACTAACTGATATTAATAGTGTTGTGATGGCCAGTATCCTGATTTTAAGGAATTATTTAGAGGTGTTGATTCAAATGTAAATACTGATCCCTGATTAAAGCTTGGGGTATGAAAAATTATGTTTCTTTTTTAGGCATTTAGGAAGTTACATAAACTTCAAAAATTCCAGAGTCATCCATTTCTAAGTAGAAATCTCTGCTAACAGGATTTCTGCTTTCAGACTGTGGAAGTAATATGGTCAATAAGGAAAATGACTGCTTCTAAATGATTTCTCTTATTTGTATACCTCAATATTTCAAATAATGCATTTATCTTGAGGACTCCAGTTGCTACTTTGAAGAAAGGTACTAATCACTTTGTTTTAAAATCTAGTGGGAGTTCCTCACAGCATATGTTTTTGAAGACTATAGCATACATCCTAAATGCATAATTAATTAAACTCATATTTTAAATGTTGTGATTGACATTTTTAAATTTTGAGACTTAAATTAGACAACTAAATCCATATATCAGCATATGTTGTAATCCTGTAAACATTAATCATGTGATTTATGCATATAAATCCTCTCTTTTAATTTGATGGACCTACTCAGATGAATTAAATTATGTAGGTAAGTATTATTAATGGGACTCCTATAGATGTCGGTCACCTTAAACTGTGGAAGTTGAAAGTGTTTGCAATTCTGAAAATTAAACCAGCTATTCAGTGCCTACACATGGATTTAGATGCCTGACTTTTAGCTCCCTCATTTAAACACTTTTATTTAAGCTTTTTCTTACAGTTATGATAATATCGTTGTTTGAATGAACATATGTATTATGTCTTTTATTATGTGAGAGAGATAAAATCTTTCTAACTTCAGGTTCTCTGACTTTTCTTAGTTTGTATTAATGTTATTTAAAATAGTTTCTTGTATGTAGCATTGCAGGAAATATTCCTATTAAATTGTTTAAAATGGATTAGATGTAACTCATTTTTAAATTGTTTTTTTCAATAGCAGTTATTTATTTTTGATACAAATGTAGATGCAATTTTTTTTTATTCTGATAGAACTGCCATCTGAATCAGCTAAGGTGCCATTTCAAGCACTTCTGTCATTGGATTTTAAGGTCCTCTTAAAATGAATTGTAAGATTCTTAAAAATTATAATTTCTTAGATATTTGTGATCTGTGCTTGTCTGTGTGATCTGATGAGTGAGGCCACTGTAGTATTTAGTCATGACAGTATCCTTAGTGTGTTAAATATTTTCACAGTAGAGAAGCAACAACTGTTGGTACAGTCTGCTGACAAATGGGTGGGTGTTTAAATTGTGGAACTGGGGAAGAAATATTACATGGGACAAATTCAGTGAAATTTGAGAAAGGGAAATATGTTAACAGACTGGAATAACCTGGCCATGGAAACAGTAATTGATGGAAAACTATAGTGGGAAAATTTGGTACTTCAAGAAGGGGAAAGTTCATTGCATAGTTGAGAGAGCAAAATCCATATCATGGGAAAGAGGGAGGTGCAAACTTTCACACAGCATTCATTATGAGAGGCAGGAGCAAACAGAAGGAAGTTATTTGGAGAAAAGAATAAAAAGGCACAGACAAACTTGTTTTTCAGGAAAGGAAAAAAATGTAAGTCGTGTTGAAAGGAGTTGGGGAAGAGGTGGAAAAAAGAGGTACTTTGGGGAATGGTGGGAGTGAATGAAAAAAAGAATACACTCAGTAAGATATAGGTAAAGAGGAGTTTGAGTGGGGAAAGAAGTATGACCTTGATAAAGCAGAGAAAACCTTGACATTTGGAAGAGCAAGGAGTAAATAATCTGTGATGTGGAAAGGGGTTTGATCTCTGGGTGGAGGGGGCATTTTAAAATCTTACAGGGTTTGCTAACTCTGCTACCTAGTGTTATGAAGGTAAAAATCTGTTACTGCCACGTTCCGTGAGGAGTACTATTCCAGTCATGAGGATAATGTGGGAGAAGGCACCAACGAGTACTTGGGATCTGTCATCTACTCAATGCTGTAGTCCTTAAATCAATTTTAACTCTAGTCAAGTCAACCTCTCTGCAGTATGCCACCAACTTGATTTTTTAAATGAGTAATAGTCAATTACTTCACTGTATATGTGGGTAAGAAATGCCACCAAAAATTCTATTAGAGAAAAATAGTGTGTTTTTTGTACTGCTCAAAACATACAATTGAAAGGGACATCCTGAGATGTTAATTTGTCTTTTGTTATCACAGCAGCCATAATCTTGCAGATAAAATGATCACTCTCCATGTTACAATTTATTGGTTTTCTCCCCTCCACCTGCTAGAAGATTCTTTCAAACCTTCCTTTATAATTTTTAGCCTAATTAGGGTTATGGCTGGTTCACATCTATTTGCTTTTGTGTCAGCGTGTAGCGGTTTCCTTACTTGACTCTTGCTTGTATTGGCTCATTCACCTTGTTTAAGTTGCAAGTCACCTTAAAGCTCCTCCTACAGCTTCTTGTACCACTTTCATTCTGCTGATGAGGTGGACCAGCCAGAGGTTCCAGTGGCTTTGCCTTTATGAGTTACTATCTGTAACTTGATGCTGAGTAACTGTTGGAGTGCTCTTGCGTGGCCATTCTTACTGTCTACTCCTTTTTTCTCTACTTCAGAAATCTCAAGGGTAAATAGAAGTAGGGGCAGGTTATTTGAAGTGCGTGTCATTTGCCATTCTGAAGGACTTTGTGACCATCTCAATCGTTCTTTGAGCATGCATGAAAGGGGACAATCTCATTTGTTAAACTACAACTAAATGCAGCTTTAAAATTCATACCAGAGTTGTTTTATTTTCTTTCTCTATGTAATGTTTTGAAACTATCTTTGCATTCTGGTGAGTTACTGAGTGACTCCAGCTTATTTTTAGAGTGATTGTATAACCACGATAGTTCCACAGCTTTATTATGCTGTTTGATATAGGGCAGGATTCTTCTTTTAATGTATTTAGATCAATATTTTGAGATTTATAGCATTACTGTACATCTTGCCTTAATCTGTGATGTTTAAATTTGAAATATCCTCTTGCACTCCTGTGTTTAATATGTTAGTTTCACTGGGGCTTTTAGAATGCTGATGAGAAACTGGCAAGCAGCAAATTAATTTCACTTCTTTTTACAATTTGCCAATTAAATTAGACTTTTCTCATACAAAGATTAAAACAGCACGAGGATTAAGGCTTTATAAATGCCAAATAGTTTGCAGAATCAGGACTCAAAATAAGGTCTATCATCTTTTTAATGGATTTGCTATTTCACTTCAGTTCTGAGCATCACGAAAAGCTCTCTTAAGTCCAAGAATAACCCAGAATGCAGATTGGGAGACAGTAGTATAAGCACTCTGTGAAATGAAGTGCTTGAAATTCCTTATTATTATTATAATGGTAAAATCACTATTGCAAAGGAGATAGTCTCTTCAGAGGTGCAGAAAATGGCAATAGAATATGGTAATTGAATTATAACCCGCTTTAAAAACTGTAAGGCGATGTTAAAAAACAGTACTGAAGGTACTGGAAGCAACGTGAAGCCTCTTAGTAGCATTTTTCTTTTATTTTTGCCTAGGTTTTCTGTGATACAATACATTGTTCTCATTGCATTCTCTAATCCATTCCTAATCAGGTCAGTCTGTTGCTCAGTTATCTTTTGGAGTATCCTTTTCCCATACATACTCAAAGTTAAAAAAGAATCAGCTTTCTGTATATAAAGGTGGGGAGGAAGAACTAGTAAAGAGGTATGCATTGTCATTAAACCTCATTCTGATAGTCTAAAGACTTTCCATTGAACTCAATGAAAATTTGATCATCATGCATGCTGTGCATGGATACTCTACAGAATCTAGTATTAACAAAACATGAATAATTCACGATTAAAGCTAAGAACCAACATGATTAGTAAATATAAAAGATATTGCCATATTCTGGGTGGGTACCCAAGAGCAGCTGTGTACCTCTTAGTCACTCAGCATTGGCAGGGCTGGATGGGCTTTACTTTATCTTCAGCTGAAAATGTAATTTGATTTCAGGTCCTGCTAGTTGTTTATTTTATGTGCAGGGTAGCTCATCATATTGTCTATTTATGCTTTTATTTCTCAGTTCAAACTATACTTGAATTTTCTTCTGCCTTTACTTAGCATTCTTCAACTTGCTCTTTTGGGAGATTGTTTCCTTTTCAAGAGCTGCTAAAAGTCTGCAGAGGTCAAGGAAGTGCTTTCCTTGAATAATTTTAAATCTGCTTTTCGCAAGTGAAATTGGGTCCTGAATGAATTATATGGTAGATGTCTTTGGGAATAATTGACTTCTGAATAGTTCCTTGAGATTTACTATCTCTAAATTCTCAGATTTACATTCTAAGTTTTACTACAAACAGGATCAAAAAATGATTTTGCCTGTTTACTATTTTTTTCTGTCATCTCCTGGTTTTGATTAGTGAAGTTGTTCTCAAGCCCTATCTACAGTAGAACAGCATTTTAATAAATCTGACATTCTAAATAGTTTTCCAAAAATTACAAGCAATAGTACTTGTTCTGTACTTGGGAAGAAGTCATCCGCTGCTTTCCTATGAATCCTCATACTATGGTTAGCTTTAGATCATCCAAAGCTCTCTTTTTCCTGTTTGTTTTTGAAGGAGGTGTTCTTCCCTGTGCCAACACAACCGATTATTTCAGTTTCTTATAGTAGCCAGGATTCTGGAGTAACATTAGAACATACTTTGTCTCTATTGTTTTGAAGACTGAACCGACTATGAAGACTGAACACATT